CAATATTTTGCACCTATAAAATTGATGACCTCTTAATGATTATTGATTGTAAGTTTATAACTTCTTCAATTGCATTTTTTTTTCAGTTCACCCTATTGAAAATGAACTAAAAGATCCAACACAAATGAAGTCAATAGTTCGAACATCTCTAGCGATATGCTCCTCGGTATATATTGCGACGAGCTTCTTTGGATTTCTCCTGTTTGGAGATCAAACGCTGGACGATGTTCTTGCGAATTTTGATGGAGATCTTGGACTTCCATACAGCTCATTGCTTGATGATGTTGTAAGGGTGAGCTATGCCATCCACCTGATGCTTGTATTTCCAATTGTTTTTTTCTCCCTTCGCCTCAATGTTGATGGTCTTCTCTTTCCCTATGCCATACCTATTGCTGTCGATAACCGACGATTCTTCTCGATAACCATAGCTCTCATGAGTTTCATCTTCATTGGAGCTAACTTTGTTCCCAGCATCTGGGATGCCTTCCAGCTCACTGGAGCCACTGCTGCCATCTCTGTTGGGTTCATATTCCCGGCTGCTCTCGTCCTCAGGTAATTGAGAATCACCAAATCGATCGTTTGAAACACATTGATCTTTATGTCAATGCTAGAATAGAACTCTCACATCTGCATAATTAGTTTATAGAACCCAGAGATTCCCATGACATTGCATTGGTCTAACAACTGTTGAAGTTAATCAGTTTCCTGTTTTGTTCCCATGTCACAGGGACACTTGTGGAGTTGCATCAAAGAAAGACAGACTAGTAGCATGGATTATGTTCGTATTAGCTATATCGTCGAGTTTTGCAGCAATCTCGACCGATATCTACAGCATTTTCATGATCGAGAAAGGCATTAGACAGTGACCACAGAAGAAGGTAGCATTTTTCTCCTACCAACTCTTTATCCTCTTTAAGGACTGATGTCACTTCAGAGCTGCAAAGAAGAGCCTTTTATTTTTTTTGATTTTTCGACCGACCATTAGCCAGGTCGGGCTGGGGTCCTGTTGTTAATTTGTAACACCAAAATATAAGGGAGATTTTGATTGATATTTTTGTGGGAGCACCTGCTAATTAAATCACAATGTGGTGTTGTCTGAACTCTGAAGAGGATCTTCATTTTGGGCGTTGGGTGGATATGCACAAATTCAAATTTCTAGTGTCGAGTCCCTTTGTGCACTAAATTTCTGGGTCCGGTAGGTGGCAAGTTTTTGTTGTTAGCATGTTCTTTTGTTTGATAAAATCTTTTTATTGACAAGTGATGAAATTGATCCAAGCTTCTGACAAGGAGAGAGCTTTAGATTTTTTTTCTCTCATTAATTATTTCTTTTGCATATTTGTTTTGTCATTACTTATAAAGCTTTTGAAAGCAACGCAATCTTGTTCACATAAAATTGTTGAAATTCAGAATAATGTAATATTCTCATATGCTTTTCATATATCCCATCCTTTTCTAACTCCTAACGAATAATATTGCTCTCGCTGCTTTTCTAAAAAAGAAATAATAATAATAAATAATAAATAATAATAATAATAATAAATAAATATTCTATATATATATATTGCCATAGCTGTCTTTTAGTGTGTGTATATATATTTTGTTGGAAAAACTATATTTTGGTTCTTGAAAATTGGCTTAGGCCATCGTAGAGAAAAAAAGAAGTATCGAAGTTGGTTGTGTGAGATCTAGACCTCCGATCTTATGGGAAAGAGTAAATATTTTCACTCGAAAGCATGTCAATTTATAAATTGAATCACAGAGAAGTTGATATTTTGATATTCTTTTTAAGTATTATTTTTGTTGTTTTTCCTGTCAAGTTCAATAATTACAAGGTGAGAGTTTGAACCATGGATTTTTTGAATAGTTGATAAGTATCTTATCTACTAATGGATTTTTTTTAATATACAATAAAAATGTGTTTATTTTAATTTTTAAATAAATAATTAAAAGAAAAAACTCACAAAGGAAGGTGGTGGGGGAAAAAGGAAATCGGAAACATGATTGAAGAAGATGCACTGTAGATGGGAATTGGCAATAAAGACAATGGAACATGCACAGCATGCAATTGTTGGGCAAAGATTTGCACGTTTACTTGCACTATTTTTTGATCATAAATTAGCAATTACGACACCAGTCTATTTGTCATTGATTACAATCTTAAATATTTCCACTCTCTATACGTTTTTTTTTAAATTTTTTTAAATGATTCTCTATACTCTTCCGTAACTAAAACAAACTAAATAACATCTACCCTGCCACTCTTCATTATGATTTTCGATATCACTCTTAATTTCCTTTATTGAAAATTTGTCAAAGGATTAACAAATAATAAATTTTAAACTCAAGAAGGTATTCAATGGAGGATGATCATTATATTTTAGATGCTAATCTAAGTGAGTTGATTCATTGACGGATATTTTTTGTATAATTAATTACTATAGAATTATCTAAATAGAGCTATAATTAATTAATATAAAATTATCCAACATTAACCTAATTCAACTGCATAAAGTATATATTATCGTTTAAAATGTTGTAGATTAAAAATGGAGTTAGAATAATATAGATATATCATAAAATAAGAGGGAACAAAAGGGGCCCTTTAGCACTAAATGGAGATGTCCCAATTGATTTATAAACGCCGGGGCCTCCCCATGACCGGGACACGTTTGAGGAAAAGTGCTTTTGTCGGTAACTGATCATTGTATTTGGCTAATACAAGGTTTTTTTTTTGAAAAGATAATACAAGGTTTCATTAAATAAAAATAAAAATAATTACTATTATTATTATTATATACAAAGATATAGAATATTCGAATATCTTTTTTTTTTAAATAATGATATGTATCTTAATCAGTTGAGGTATATTTACAGTGATAAGCTTTATTTTTTATTATTAAACTATTAATTTATATAAAATCTTGTTCCTTGACTATAGACTAACTATGAATTTTATATATTAAAATTTAATATTTTAACTAATAATTCAGAGATAAATAACATGTTCTCTTTCTTTTGAAATTTAAGTCTCCATATTTCATAATTGTGGTAAAAAAAAATTAATATTATAAAAACAATACTTTTAAAAAGTCAAGGATGACCCTCGCTATAATATAAGACGCATATATTACTCTAACTTACCTTAATTAATCTATTAAAAACTGTTTAAAAAAATATGTTAGAAAAACTTACCTTAATTCATGTCTAGACTGCTTAATTATATAAATTGGTGATTATTTCAGTCGCCCACTGGTTTCTCTTACAAGAAATGTGTAAAATCGTCTAAAAAAAAGAAGAAAAGTGTAAAGTATAATTCCCATATTTAACCCAAATATATAAAACAGTCGCCCACTGGTTTCTCTTTGAAGAAATATGTAAAGTCTAATTCCCATATTTGACCCATCAAAAGAAAATCCCCATATTTGGAAAATAAAATCAGTAGAAATTGAGATGGGAAGCTGTAAATCCATTAAAATCATCACTTGCTAAATCCACGTATCTGAATTATTGTTACGATTTGAAAAGGAAACCATCGGAATACTTATAATTAAAATAGAAAATACTCATCATTTGATGTTAATTTTTTTTTGTTTTTGTGGGTTTAAATATTATTGGGTGACATCCTCATCAGCCGCTAACCTAACCTAAGAAATAAATAAAAACAAAGGTTGAAAAAAAGAATAAAGTCAGAGGAAGAATTTTATTTAAGTTATTAGAAAGAAAAATTAATTGATTAATTAATTTGGGGATTCTGGAAAGCGGAGATTGCGGGCAAATACCTGAGCGCACGACCGCCGGCTGTGGTGTCCAGCCTGTTTGCAATCGAAGGGCTGACTGTGGACCACCGCCGCTCCACGTGGCAAGATCTCCGCTCATCATGGCGTTCTGATTTTGATCAAGCCCCTCCCTCCTCTACCAACTCTTCCGCGTTTTGGATCTGACGGTCCTTTGGCATCTTCCGCCGAATCCAATCCGTTCCTCAAACTTGTTCACTAAATTCCTGTTTTACCCCCATTTCTCTACGATCCTGCCAATTGTCATTCAGGACAAACTAGTAAGTTGACCCAAAAGCTTTGTGAAAAAAAGTATGTTTTCTTTTTATTATTATTTTATTTCAGTAATTCGTTACAATAAGGATTACCATATTTGCGAGCATGACAGTTACAGTTTATGAGTTTAATATGTTTTGAAATAAAAATAAAAATTTTCCTGAAAGAAATAAGAAAATAATAAAATACAAATAATTTTTTTATAAAAAAAATAAAACATATAATTTTCTATAATTAAATATCTATTTTATCTTCAAATTCAGCCTAATTCAACTAATTAAGTCTCAATCAAAGATATATTATTGAACTAAAAAAACCAATTGTATTCCTTTTGTCGATGTAATCATGCCTTAAACCAATTGACATCTTACTTGACTTTTATTTTCTTGTAAATCTTGCATAATATTAAAATATATGGCAAGTTTTCTTTGAAATATAGCCTAAAGAAGTAATGAATTGATTATTAGAATATTACATTCCATAAAAAAAAAATTATCGAACGTATGATAAATTTAAGTGTTAAGGACTTAATAAACTTTAATATTTAAAAATCATTAAAAACAGTTTTAAAATGTTATTTTTTGTTAAAATAGTTTTTCAAAATTTGAATTTCTGGAGGTAAATATCGGCTTTACCCCTTATCCTGAAACTGCTGCTACTTTTTCCATGTGAATAAGACTGAAGAATGAAAAGTTAGGACTGGGCAATGTTCCACTGTATCTGATAGTACGAATTCTCGTGATCCCGCTGACGAAAACAAATCTGAGACGCACATCATGATCAACCTATACTTTTCCATCGGCTGGAGCTTTTGGGACGTGGCTGATGATGTGATCCGGCTTAGGCTGGTCCTGATTCGACGCAAGTACCACAGTAGCATAATGGATTAGTTGTATTTTTTCAAAAAGTAGAACCTTTTATTTTTTCCTTTTACTGTACAAACTTCATATTCCCGATAACACCCTCTTTCTGGTTTCGTTTGTTCCACTCAAAATTTGTCGGTGGATTAATTTGAAAAGAGGGCAAATTAGGCAATTCAAATATCCTCCCTCTGTTTTTTTATAATATTTATCCGAAACATCACAGCTGCGCCTGCACCTGCAGTGTTGGCGCGTGATCAATAATGAAAATAAAGAAAATTTACAGGTATTATCCACTCGCGCGCGCTGTAGCGGAGGGTTAGATGGTAAATCCACACGGTTTTACGATGGCGAACCAAATTGAAGTTTCGTACGAGCGGGAGAACGGGGGAAAGAAAAAAAGAAACAAAAAGTAGAAAATAGAAAAAATGAGAACGGAGTTTTTACACTGTGAAGGGTCAATGGAACGGACTTGGTCATCTCTTACGAAATGGACGGCCATGAATTTTCCATGATAAAATCATAAGGCAGTAATAATGATAAGTATCAAATAATTGAAAAAAAAAGAATATATTAATCCAATCATTTTCCGTTCTTTACCCATTTTTGCCGTTACGTTTCCTATCAAGGCTGTTCATTCCTTATTTAAATTTCTTTTAGATATTTGTTTGTGCATTTTTATCTGTTAAAACAAAAAGGGAAAAAAAGATTAGCCCTTTGATTTAATTACAAAAGCGAAGAAAGCCAGGAAAAAAAAAGGATAAAAATTTTGGCAGGCAAAGAAAAGAATCTCATCCCAGTAATTTATCTCTTATCTCTCTGTAAGTTTTCTCTCTCAGTGTAAAAGTGGAAGTACAAAATTGTAGGGCTTTGGTGGATGGTTGTTGGTGATTTAAAAGATCTGCCGATTGTGAAATGGGTTTCCCCCATTCCCTTTAATTTTCCAGTAAAAGCGATCGCTTTCATATGGTTAATGATTCGAGTGTTGAGAACGTGCATTCGGTTCGTAATTTAGAAAATTGTTTTGAAATCCCTTTCGAAATTCAAAGACGTGCTGAGCTGTTAGCATTACCAAATTCTGAAATGCTCTCGGCCATCGCTCTTCCTTCTTATTACCTTCCTGACCTTTTCTGCAAGCTGTAATCGAATGGAAGCTGGTTTGGACACATCTCCTTCAACTCATTTCTTCATTCCCCTCCTTCGGATAGTTCTCGTATAAGTTGTCGGTCGTCACCGAATGCCCACAATGATTTAGAGACGGCCACTCCTGCATTCTTCACCACGCGTCTTCTTTCGCTCTTTCCAAGTAATTTTTTCTCTTCTTCTTCTTCTCCATCTTTCTCTGACAATGAGATCAGGATCACGATTGTAGTTGTTGCCATTGCCCCACTTTCTCTTTTTGTGGGTCTTTTAATTTTCMCCATTTTTCGATCAGTTCGAAGTCGGGCCTTGAAAGGACCAAGTGTAGAGGAGGAGGGGGAGGTGGGTGCGTTTTGTGAGGTGTCTGAGATTCGGGTTTTCTCATTCAATTGGGGTTTTTGAGATTTAAAAAATGGCCCCCTCGTTTGATTGGTGGGGGAAAGACACTCACAGAGGAACCCCTGTTGTTGTCAAGATGGAGAATCCGAACTGGTCCATGGTTGAGCTCGAGGGTCCGTCGGAGGATGACTTCCTCATCGCCGCCGAGTCGCCGCAGGGCCGGACCCGAGAGAAAGGCCGAGGCAAAAACGCGAAGCAACTCACGTGGGTCCTCCTCCTCAAGGCCCACAAGGCCGCCGGTTGTCTCACCTCCATTGGCTCCGCAATGGTGGACCTCGCCGCCGCCGTCAGACGCCGCGTCGCTTCCGGCGAGACCGACGCCGATGATGCCGCCGACAATGACGTCACTGTGGGAGGCAGAGAGAAAGAGAACCCCACTGTGAAAACGAGGTTTTATTCTTGTATTAAGGTGTTTCTATGGCTGTCGGTGCTTCTCTTAGGCTTTGAGATTGCAGCCTTTTTCAAGGGCTGGCATTTTGGTACCCCAAACCTTCAATTGGACTATCTTTGGGCTACTCAATTGGGTTTCAAAGGATTTTTCGGTTGGATTTATTCTCAATGGGTACTAGTTCGAGTGGAATATTTAGCTCCTCCTCTCCAGTTCTTAGCCAATGCCTGTATCATTCTGTTCATCATTCAGAGCTTGGATCGTTTAGTCCTATGTTTTGGCTGTTTCTGGATCCGATTCAAGAAAATCAAACCAGTTCTTAAACCAGGAGATGAAGACCTTGAATCTGGCGAGAAGGGCTATTTCCCAATGGTTCTTGTTCAGATCCCCATGTGCAACGAAAAAGAGGTAAATTATTTGTCCATATCTTCTGTTTTGCCGTTAGAATTGTTTGGTTCTTGTTGACAATGTCTTGAATTTGTGATTCTTTTTTTCAGGTTTATCAGCAATCTATTGCTGCTATCTGCAATTTAGACTGGCCAAGGACTAGGCTGCTCATACAAGTTCTTGATGATTCTGATGATCCAACTACCCAGTTGCTGATTAAAGAGGAGGTTCATAAATGGCAGCAAGAGGGTGCCAACATTGTCTATCGTCATCGGGTCATTAGAGATGGTTATAAAGCTGGGAACCTCAAATCCGCCATGAATTGTAGCTATGTCAAAGATTACGAATTCGTGGCCATTTTCGATGCCGATTTTCAACCCACCCCTGATTTCCTTAAAAGAACTGTTCCTCATTTCAAGGTACTTTTAGGTTCCATTTGGAAGTATGAATTTAATATTAGATTTCTACTTAGAAGACTACTGACTCTCTTTTTAATGGCACTCAGGACAATGAAGAACTGGGACTGGTTCAAGCAAGATGGTCTTTTGTGAACAAGGATGAGAACTTGCTAACCAGGCTTCAGAACATCAATTTAGCTTTCCATTTTGAAGTGGAGCAGCAAGTGAACAGCGTCTTCCTCAATTTCTTTGGATTCAATGGCACTGCTGGTGTGTGGAGGATCAAAGCTCTCGAGGATGCCGGTGGGTGGCTGGAGAGGACCACGGTCGAGGACATGGATATCGCAGTTCGAGCTCATCTTCATGGATGGAAGTTCATATTCCTGAACGATGTCGAGGTACTAATCTTTGTTGTTTAGTATATGATATGAGTAACAAGTTTATTCAGTGTGTTTCTGAGTTGATGATTATATACTTTTTCTGCATAATCAGTGCCAGTGTGAACTACCAGAATCTTATGAAGCTTATAGAAAACAGCAACATAGATGGCATTCTGGTCCAATGCAATTGTTTCGCCTTTGTCTGCCTGCTATTATTCGGTCCAAGGTATTGAACATGCACTTCTTCTTTTGTTGTAAAATTTTGAGTGATCAAATTGCTGATATAGTTCTCTTTTGCAATTGATTGAATACAGATTAGTGTAGCAAAGAAGTTCAACTTGATCTTCCTCTTCTTTCTGCTCAGAAAACTGATACTGCCATTCTATTCTTTCACGCTTTTCTGCATAATTCTCCCAATGACAATGTTCGTTCCTGAGGCCGAGCTACCGGCTTGGGTTGTTTGCTACATCCCAGCCACCATGTCGTTTCTGAACATCCTGCCTGCCCCGAAATCCTTCCCTTTCATTGTCCCTTACCTCCTTTTCGAGAACACCATGTCAGTCACCAAGTTCAATGCCATGATCTCAGGCCTCTTCCAGCTTGGTAGTGCTTACGAATGGGTTGTTACAAAGAAATCTGGTCGTTCCTCCGAGGGCGATCTCGTTGCCTTGGTAGAGAGAGAGCAAAAGCATCAAAGAGTGGCATCTGCGCCTGAGCTAGAAGAGATGAAGGAGGAAATTCAGAAGCAAGAGCAGAAAGCTGCTCCCTCACGAAAGAAGAAGCACAACCGAATCTACACGAAAGAGCTCACATTGGCTTTCCTCCTCCTAACCGCATCGGCCCGGAGCCTTCTGTCTGCACAAGGGATCCATTTCTACTTCTTGTTGTTCCAAGGGATCTCGTTCCTGCTGGTCGGTTTGGACTTGATCGGCGAACAGATAGGTTGATTGTACAAAAAAAATGGATCAACTTTGTAGGAAAGAAAGAACACAAGGAAAAGACATCAGTAGACAAAAACATGGGTGAAGTGGAAAAAGGCACAACCAACCAACCACATTGGAATAAAAAGTTTGAAGATTTAGAGGCTAAAATCATCAAACAGAGCCTCAGAATTCTTCAAAATTGTACTTTTTCAGCAACCCCTCTAGAGAATGTCAAAGTCCATTTCACCCAATACAGACCAGATAGCATTATAAGAACACAAGCCAAACACATAATATTGGAGACAGACGCTTAGTCAAATGGCGATGATCTTCCAGTGTATGTACTGTAGGATTTTTTTTTTTTTTTTGCCCCTTAATTTCTTTGTTGTTTCTATTTGTTTGTTTTTTCGGAGTCGGATTCTTTTGTAAGAAAAATTTGAACATCAAAAGAAGGAAATTAGTTAACTGTTGGATGAAGGGGACAGAAGAAGTTGGTTCATATTTAATGGTAGTTTCTTGTTTGTCAATGAGAAAATGTTGTGGGAACTGAGAACTGAGTTATGGTTGGCTAAGGCAAAATTGACCAACGCAATTTTCTTCCCCAAATTTGGACTTAGAAATCGAAATTGGAAATGGTAAAAAAAAAAGTATTCAATTTTGAACAATTACGTATGTTTTGGGCATTCCTGCGCGTTGGGAGTGACTATTCAGTGATTGGTGCGTTTGAAATTCTAAACCCGCCCAAACTTCTTTGGAAAATGACAGTGCAAGGGAAGCGTGGAGACAAAATTTTAAAAGTGTTTTTTATTACTTTCTAGATATTAAAATATATTATTTAAAAAAAGTGTATATATATATATATTAAAATATATTTTTATTGAAAATGTTTCTTATAGTGCTTCTTATTCTTGTTATTTACGTTGGGTGTAGAATCAAATTCATAACCTTTTGATTGGAGATATTTGTCAATCACTACTGAACTAGGCTTGCTTTAACTTTATAATTTGTCTCTAATAATACTATTATAAATAGTATAAATGAAAAATTATGAGTTTGTAAACCTTTGAGTAAATTCAACTTTCTATTTTTTATAATACTCGCTTATGGTTATTGAAACTTTTTCTTTCTCACCATTAAATATTTGACAATTCATTATTATTTAAAAAAAGGTCTATGTTTTTGTTCTCTTTTAGTTGTCAAACATTTAGTGACGAGAATGATAAAATTACTCATCATGGAGGACTGAGTATTTTCCTTTTTCCAATTGTTTATCCTAAGTGTCTATATTGTTCAAATTGTTTATCTTTTTCCCTTAGTCTATGATATAAATTTTGTCAATATTTCAATTCTAAAAAATTTAGGGAGTCAAAATAAGTAAAAATTACAAAATTTTAAATATTCTATRTATAAAATTAAATTACGACAAATTAAGAAAGCGAGTAACTTTCTTCCCTTCCATGCCGAACCCAATCTCCCCATTAGACTTATTTTAAGCTACATAAGATTAGTCTTCACCAAACTTGGATTTGGATAATGCTCTGATGAACTTTAATTATTAAGAACCTTTTATGAAAAAAATAATTGACTGTAATTGTTTTAGCCATAATAATATTTTAATAATCTCCAACCAATTAATTCGTAGAGATATAGTGAAGACAAAAAGTTTTGATCATTGATTCAGTTAATCGTGTGTGGCCAATCAAGTCGATTTCAATAAATTAGTGCTGACGCATTAATTGCGAATTATTGGGCAAACCTGTTAATTTTTTTTTTATAAAATTCAATTAGGTTGATAAAGTCCAAAGACAAATAGTAATATTTTTTTTTTCACATTTTAATCTAGATCCATCTCCAGGAAAAGAAAAAAAGAAAAAAAAAATCTTTTATTACAAGTTGATCAACTGGGATTAGTTGTAGTTTTTACTGCCATACTTATATTTGAATTTTTTTCATAACATAAAAATGTTATAATTTTCTATGTTTTTTCAAATATATCATAAAGGTAAATCTTATTGTATTTTATAAGACGTGAATTTGAGTTTAATTTAAATTATGTCATGGTAAATTCTTAAATTTTCTACTACATTATTTTATGCTATTTACATAAATGTCTCCCGATGTCTTTATATTTACTTTTTTTTAATGAATATAAATTAAAAAATTGTTAATTTATATTTTTGTTTTTCAAATTAAAAGTTTGTAGTGACCTTAAAAGTTTATTTTAATAACTTAATTATTGAAACATTTTAAAGAAAAAATAAACTATACTGGAGGGTTAAATTCGAAACAAAAATCTCCAATACGACAATGTTGAAAATTGCTTAAAAGGATTAAGGCTGCCACAACTTCACACTAACGGCCTAACGGGCTTTACCCAAATGGCCCATTCTGTTCTGCGAGCCACGGATTACTTCATATATTTTCAAAAAATCTATTTTTATTTATGTATTTTGAAAGAGTGGCATTTTTTTTTCCGACAATATACCTACTAAAATTTTTAAAATATAGTTATAAATTTATATTAAAAAATTTCTATTGTAATATAAATTTTTGTAAATTAGGATCCACATTTTGAAACTACAAAAACTAAAATGCACAAAAGCTTAGGCAGATATTTCTACAAAAAATAAACTAAAATTAAAAATACAATTATAATATAAAATATCGTAAAACTGCTGAAAAAAAAAATCTTTAGACCATACATCATATACCAAAACTATAGCTTCCAATCTAATCCTTTTCCACTAAGAAAAAAAGATTATCATAAGCTCTTCCTTTTCTTTTCTTTTCTTTTCTTTTTTTTTTTTTTTGATAATTATCATAGGCTCATTTGATTAACGCAATAAATCGAAAGAAAAATGGTTGGAAATACAAATAACAAACAAAAGAAGGATTAGAAGATTTCGTCCTTCTGTTAAAAATTTTTCCTTGAAAATTGGTACAGCAAAAGCTTCAGCCTTCCATTTCATCCTCTAATCTACAATTCCCAATTCAAATCAATTCTCATCAGCCTCACCCACAAAATCAAAATATACATTCCTTTTCTGCTATTAAATCCATCTTCTTCTGCTAAAATTCGAAGAACAATAGTTAGAAACTGAATCCTATACAGACTTTAATGCTTCTTTTCTTTTTTTCTTCTTTGTCAACTTGAAAACGTTTGAATTTCTGTTGAGGAATAAAATGAGCATTTTTCCCCTTCTTTTCCCTGTCTCCTCCATTTGCAAGAAAATTAGAGCTCTGATTTCAACCGCCCTGCCATTGCCAAATAATATCATATATCAAACATCTCTAACCTTGGAACTTTGGAACTTTGGAATGTGAAGTTATTAGTTTTGAAGAATACCATTTGGTCCCAAATTTTCGATGGCCAAACTGGAGTCAAATCCCATTTGAAGAAGACTTTGGAGATCGGTTTCTAACATCGTCTGCGCGTAAATGCTTTTCGTTTAATGTCATTGAACACACAGAACAAAACAGCTGCATCATTCAGAGGATCACCAAGTTAACTACCTGAGGCAGAGGAGGAAACTGTGTGGATGTGGTTGGCATATTCGACATCGTCCCCTGAAACTGAAACATCCGGTGAGGGACCGGGGGAGCAGTGTTCAACCCGGGATCGAATCCAAGTACAGTTCCATTGCTGCCCCGTGCGTGGAAAATCTACACAACAAAAGTTGAACCGAATTAAAGCCATTCACAGACTAATTTCAACATGATCAAGTAGCCAAGACGACTCTGAACTTACATCTTTGGATAAAATCCTCTCGATGTCGATGTTCACGTCCGGGTTGACAGTAGCAAGTTTCATTGACAAAAACTGCAGAATAGTACAAAAAAATAACTTCATTTCAGATTACATTTATCATACTGATCATGTCATCCTGCTTTATGCACAAAATTTTAACCATCATCTAAAATTGTTATGAATCCACAACCAACATTCAGTTGTAGTTCTCCTTTTGAAGTTTTAATAGTTGTAATAACCAAAAGAACTTTTGTCATCCAATGTCCTTTAAACACATACCTCAACCTGCTGTTGCAATGACTGTACATAGTTGATAATCTCATCAAGCATTACAGCCTTTCCAGTAATCTATAGAGATTAAACAGATCCGAATTCGAGTAAGAATCAAAGTTCCACAGACGAAAACACGCAAATTAAATGAAGGTTCAAAGACACATTTGGTCCTTGAACTTAAACTAAAGTAACAATTTATTCCAGTAACATTTGGTCTCAAAGCAGTGTATAGATCTTAAGAACCCCATTAAACATTAACAAGATTAACATTAACAAGATTTACATGGTAGCGATTAAATAGTTATATACTAAAGTTTCACGACTAAATAGTTGCTTTGACCAAAATGAATGAATTACCTTATTGCATCCGGGAACAAGTTCTTGAAGCAATCTCATCCGCTCACTGATCTTCTCCCTCCTCACCTATTGGCCAAAGTGTTTTCCACTCTTGTAAGATAACTAAACAAGAAAATTTACTTCAACATTCAAAGTTCATCAGCAGAAACTATAAAAGTTACCCTCTCAGCAAGACTATGGCTATTTGTGGCCTGCCCTCTTCGAGCTCGCACATGAATGTAATTTTCCTTAGGAGCTTCTCCACTATTATTAGACTTGTCTTTAGTTTGTTTTCCAGTTGCCTTACCACGAAAATTCCCACCTAAATTCTGCTCCATTTCTGCATTCTTCTCCTCTTGCGTACTGGAACTGTCCCCAGAAACATCCTTCTTCAATTTCCCTTCAGATTTCTGCCAAAAAAGAAGGAAATTTAATGGAATGATTTGCAATCAGAATGGTTAGAGACAAATTATTAATTGTTACCTTATTCGGGCTAAATGGGAAAGTGGAATCAAGAGCTCGTTTTCTGGTTTTACCACTTGGAGATCCTCCAGCAGCGTCTTCTCCAGATAATGGTAAATTTTCTTGAGTTTGTGCAGTGTTGGTAGTTCCTCCATTTCTGTAATTTGAAGGACAGGCTCCGAGAATCTGGCCAGAAAGGCCAAAAGAACCAAACATGTCCGAATAATTCCCACTGCCAAAACAGGGCAGCTTCGTCCCCATCTCCAAATCTGTCGGATAATGAACGGCCTGTGTTGTCCCACTCGCTCCCTGGTTCTCCAAAACTACAGGAAACGAACTGGAGAATTCGCCATGGGAGGACACCATTGAAGCTGCTCCAAAATTCTCACTTTGACCCAACGAAACCAGTGGATCCCAACCAGAGGCGAAGAAAGAGTCCATTCCAAGAGACGATTTGTTACCGGAAACCGAACCCATCGGTAACACACCCGAAATTTTCCCCGAAGATGGAGAATTCAGTAACCCCTCGTTCGAATTTCTAAAACCCATATCGTCGTTTTCGAGATCACCCATTATTATGAAACCCCAGGCTACAATAGTTGGTTTTTGGTCAGTTACTTCTAATGAGGGGAAAACATAGAAATTAAAAATTTTAAAGGGGAAAGCCGGTTTTGACCACAGTTGGCCGGTGATATCTTGCGGGACTAAACAAAGAACCAAGTTTGCAGCTTTTAAAGAGCGTTAAAGCAAAAGCAAGCTTCTCAAATGCAGCATCCCCATGAACACAAAGTTAAAGACAGAGAGAGTGAGAGAAAAAAAAATGGAATTTGTGAGAGAGCATAAAATGTAGACGAAGCTAACTCTTCTTGGCTTGATGAACCTTTGAGGATGGATGTAGAAGAAGCAACCCAGCTCTGTTTTGAATGCAAAAAGGAGAAAGAAAAGAAAAGGGAGGGAGGAAAAAAATATATTTGGGGGCAAGACAAGAAAGTGAACCTTTCAGAGTATAAAGTGGACAAGAAACAATGACATTAGCTATGCAACAGCTCATCAATGCAGTAAAAGGAAAGCAGATTCCCTTTTCACTTTTGGGTATGGAGGAAAAACATTTTCCAACTTCTCCATCCAATCAAATCCCAAAATATGATTGATTTAAGCAGGGTCTCAGTCTCTGCCTCTGGGTTTTTTTTTTTTTTCCTTCTCTAGATCAAAAAATGTCAAAAGGGTCTCTGCAAGTTTTCAGGAAATGAAAATGGTTGATCTGAGCAGAGGGAAATAACCAGTGGGTCTCAACTTATGAACCTGGAGGGTCTTCAAGAGAGAGGAGAGAAAAAAAAAAGGTAAAAGGGTAAGTTGCAGAAAGGCTTTCGAGATATCCTCGTATCTGTAGCCGAGAAAAGGACCAAACTTGAAGATGAATTTGGGGAAAATAATGAATGAATTGGGGAGTGTTCTAAAATTGGGGGGTTTTTTGAAATGTGGGTTGAATGAGCATCAAATGCTTTGACGAGAAAAACCAAATTCACCAATTGGGTTGCTGCATAAGCAGGAAAGAAAGCATCAAATTCCAACTTTTATAGATCACAGACAATAGAAAGAGAGAGAAAACACAGACATTTCTCACCTGTCTATCCTCAACAAGTGATTAAAAGACAGACAGAGACTAACTAATGCCAACTGCTCTTGATGCTGAATTATTACACAACCTAATCTCTCTTTTTTCCCCTTCCTCTACTTTTCACTCCAAATTTCTCTCCCTTGTGCAGCTTTGAATTAAAAAAATCAAAATACTCTCTCTGTTCCTCTGTTTCTATTTCTCTCTCTCTCATGCTAATGATAGAAGAACTGAACCACTGGAGAAGGGAGATGTTCTTCTCTTCAAGCCCAAGCTTGCTTCTTCATTTGGGTTCTCCCTTTCATATACTTTCTCTTATTTAACTGACACATTTGCCTCCCATTCCAAAAGACACTTCTTTGCTGTTACACATTCTTTTTTTTCCTTTGCCAACTAAATCATTATTCTACCTAACCTCATTTTACACCTTTTTCTTTTACCTGCACCCCATAATTAACCACTGCTAATCTTATTGGTAGTTCCAATTCAATGCCCTCAGCTACAGCTACCATTTTTTTCATTTTCCATATGTCAAAAGCAATAGGGCCATAAAGATTATTTTAGTTTATTGAAGCTAACAGCTGTATGTAATGGTAATGGTAATGTGTTGGTTTTAGTTTATAGATTTTGGGTGCTTTGGAGAGTGCAACATATGGAATATTGGAATCTAATCATCAAAAATTTTAGTTGCTTGTCGTGGTGCCATTTCCAGCTATAGTTGGTGTCTGCATCTTCAGAGCACAGCCAATGGCCAGCCAGCCAGGCTCGGTCAACACCCCCTCTGCTTCCTAAATCAATGCCTAAATTTCTTCCTACCCTTCTTTTTATAATGCCTGGATGGAATATGGATCATCATCATCATCAAGAACATATTTTATTTTTTCAACAAAAAGAAAAAGGAAAAAAAAATCTTTTTTTTCTCTTTATTATATTTTGTGAACATCAACATCTCGATTCATGTGAGGGCCCAGATGAAGTATGACTGGTTAGTCAATAGTATTATAAAGATGCATGATTGTGATGCTACACATCAAACTTATCACTGTACCTTCTCACTCCAAATCATCTCTCTCTCTCTCTCTCACCAGGGCAGGGCCTCCTTCCTGAATAAACATCTCTCTCTCTTTCAACTTCAATCTCTTCAAGATTTTATACAGAATATCAATTGAATGATTGGCCCAACCAAACATTTTAATGAATCTCAGTTTATGTAGATTAAGCTACAAGTTATTTGATCATTTAATAATGTAGTTATAAATAGGTGTCTCGTTATCGATTTTGTGTTTAATAGAATAGATTTTATATGGTATAATGACTGTATTGGTTTGTTTAAGAATGATGCGACGAGTTATTTGTGACGAACTAAAAAAGAAAGTGATAGTTTGATTGAATTAATAACTCAAATATCTCTATAATTCTATGATAATTGTCCACTTTAAATATGACACTCRTGATTCTACTTTTGATATTATCTAAAATACAATACTTTATACCACAYATATATTATGGATCACTCCTTTTCTAGCCAACATAAAATTTTGTTTACACTTTTTACAACTCTAACAATTTATATGTTTAACAAATTATTAATTTAGAATGAGGAAACACGTCTACCGTTGGGAATGACATTTGTCAAGGACAATGGTACTTCAAGTACTCACCAAATATCTACAATGTCATATTGTCCGCTTTTGACATAACCATCAACTTTGCTTTTGGTTTCAAGGTTTATACTAACGAAGATATTGTCTCATATATATTTTATCATATTTCTCTTATTTAACACATGTGAGACTTTGGTCACATTCTCAATATCTATAAAATTGGCTAACTTCTTATCATATCATATGAGTCTAACATCGTAACTGAAACACTATTTTGACTTTTGACACTATAGAAAAAAATAAATTATATATAAATATATATATATGTGAAGAGTTGGATGGAAAATTATACGGGAGTTGAGATCGTTGGGTCATATTACATAGCATATTGTTAGTTACATGTATAGGAATAATATAAGTTAAGTGGGGAATAGGAATTATTTTTAGGGGCAAAAAAGGTATGATCTTTAGAGTTGGGAAATCTCACGCGTGCGACTCGTGTGGTCCTCTTTCACTGTCAATGATGGGGTTGGTTCATTAAACGAGAATCTCAATGGATTTTTGCCTTTTTTTTTTTCTCTTGTCTAAAAGCTTTGATGTCGACTCATGTTAATATAGCTTATATTATATGTTTATGTTATTTCTCTAGATTTTTAATATATATTCAACTGTCAGTCAAGGCCTACAGAAATTTTTTTTTTCCACTCATTAAACGAATATATTTTAGATTTTTTAGAGAATCCTTTGGTAAACACAGCTAGATAATGTGGAGCTAGGAGCTTTAATAATAAGCTTTGGGTGGTGAAGTTTGTAGTTTAAAGATGCCTTTAGCTTATGGAACTTATTATGAAATCAGCAAATCTATAGTTATAATAAGAAACCGCACATACTAAATGTTAATGCGAAAAAATTGATCGGGTGTTGACCTATACTATGTCATTTTATTTTGGTAATTTTTCTGCTACTTAAATCTCTTAAAAAAAAGGCTCATTTTATTTTGTTAATTAATATAGAATTAAAGACAAAGTTAGGCCAGCTAGCAAGGATTTTAAGATTAAAAATTAATACTTTGACCAATAATTTCAAATTTTAATTTATGGAATGCATTAAGATGTGATGAATGGGGGAAGGGGGAAGAAGAGCATTAGTGACAATTTTGTGAATTATAAAGAGAAATCTTTAATGTCAAAATCGAGGTGATGAATGGAAATAATTGATAGTGTTGGGAAATTCTTATTTATTATTTGTTTTAATTTATTGGAATCTAAATTAATCAATATAAAATTAATTAGGGAGTGAGACTCTAAAAACAGGTTACTTTAATTTTACAAAGCTCATCTCGGGCCATGCTTGATTCTTCATCCCATCACACTCCACACGTTTAAAGAAAGCTTTTTTCTTTTCTTTTCTTTTCTTTACAAAAAGCAAACCACAACACAACTCTCATATTCTCTCTCTCTCTCTCTCTCTCTCTCTCTCTCTCTCTCTCTTAAAATTTATAAGTAGAAAAAGAAAGGCCATCAAAACAAAACGTACTTACGTGCATTAAAGAATCAATTATTTAAGGTTATAATTAAATAATTAAAATTTAATTAGATTAAGTGTAGTTTAGTCCATGAGCAGAGATGGTTAATATTACAATTGGCCAATAAAAATGGCTCTTGCATGCGCACCAACTCCTACAATCATTCATCCATCACTCTCCTCTCTTATTTAAATTAAGCACATAATATATCTCTCTAAAAAAATAGCAAATTATAAATTCTACCCAATTATTCTTTTTTATCTAGTTTCATATATTATTAGTCTACTATACCTATTAGATTTTGTTTAATCAAAATGAAGATTGTGCATGAACTTTGTGTTTAATTGTCTTGATAAACTAAATTAGAACCCAAACGAATGATTATTGATGTGCATTTTGAAGGGAGTCATGAAAGGGGGAGATTTTGAAAATGTTGAATTTTATATACTAATTTAGAGATAATTTCAAATTGGTGCAAGGTATATAAGATCAAAAAAAACATATTTACGTTATAGGAATGTATGATGTTTTTGTAAAATGATGATCTTACTTTAAACAACTACGATAAAAATGGGAGAAATAATTCACTGTTCTCACAAAGAGAAATTATTCAATGTGACTGTTACTCTCCTTCATCTTAATCAACTTATCTCGCAAAGTGGATCTAATTATATAAACATAACAACTTTCACAGTATACCAATCACATTTAACACCGATCTAGGGGTTTAAGATTTCGAGTTTAAAAAAAATCAATAATAAATATAAGTTGGGATAAATTTAGAAAGTAATAGATGTGGATGAGATGATGATGAAGGAAGGGGGAGTGTGAGTTGGAATATATTTGATGTAAAAAAATAAATAAATAAAGTGACTCAGAGAAGTGAGAGAGAATACTTTAATCATATTGGAGACATATAACCACTTACAATTGAATGTTTCCACATCAAGAAGCTAACTAAATATTTCTGCAAAATCAACCTCCACTCTGAATTTTCATCAACATATTCCAATACCAACAAAAAAAAAAACGACAATCTTTGCTTTGTTTTTAAGAATATTGTTGGTGCCACCATCACGACAGAGGTTATTCCATAAACAACATTGTTCATCTATCAGTAACAAAACAAGAACGTAATGCGTAATATCCATGCCTCTGTGGAAAAATATTATTCATTTGTGAATTTTTCAATTTCATTTCCAATTTCCCAGATCTCTGTGCCGAGTGGTTGCAGTTTCCTATATATATTCTCTGCCCATGATTATTATGATTTCTGATCGGTTAGATTTCTCGATTACTTTCCCTCATACTCACACCCCATATTCCTTTTGCCCCTCCACAGTACAATAATCTCTTTTATCGTTGTGTCAAGATTCCTTCGTGAATCGTGTTTTGACACGAGACTTGCTTACAAATCGCTCATCGAGTATGAACTTCTATTAAGAAGGTAAACAAAGTATTGCATTTGTTAGACAATAAAAAGAGGTAATATATAAGTGAGAACAATTATTTTTATTAGTATAAAGTTTTTGGGTGAAATAAAAGCAAAGTTATAAAAACTCATGTCGAAAATGAACGCCGCAAATACTCATGTTTGTTGTTTGGGATTCTTATTTGAAAATTAGAAAAGCAACTAATCATCCTTTAGGTAAAAATAGCGCCTTTTTTTTGTCTTAGTGTTAGGTAAAAATACATTACCGATTATAAAAAAAATATTGGTTATTTTATAACATTAGGAGGTACGTTTTTATTTTTCTTCTAAAGAAAAAAAGAAAAAAAAGTAGGTTTTTCTTTTAATGAAAATTTCCCTAAATGGTAATTTATGTTAGTAGCCCTGTATGTTGTCTTTGGCGGCCTTAAAAGAGCGGGCCGAAAGCAATCCGCTATTGGGCCCATATAACGAGTCCAATCAATTGGGCCGAGGATCCGTATTCTAGGCCCAATCAGTGCACAGCATAACCCACAATTATGGGCCTTTTAGAGCCCTTTTAGTTTAAAGCCCCAGGTTTCGTTTTAATTTTCCTTCCCCTCCTTTCTCAATAAAGAAAAATTTATTTGAAATTATTAATCAATAGAAAATTCATTGCAATTAGTATTAATTTATACGAAAAGTTATTATACACATGAATAGATATATTTTCTTTTAAATATATAGATGTATGTCTTTTAATCCCATTTAGTTGAAAACAACATGTGACATGTTATTTTAGGGGGAAATATTAAAGTAACATCATATTAGATATATTAATTATTTTATAAACTGTCGGAATTATGTAATAATAAATTATGAAGCCCAATCAGACACCGACTTTGGATTTGGGTGTCCAACCTGTAAACAACCAACTTTGTTTATTATTATATGATTATATCTTACGGGTTGACTAATTTAACCTAAAAAAGGAGCTTTCAACAAAATCTTACACCACTTTCTTCTCTCTTATGCTTTTTTTTACGAGGGGAGATGTATTTTGTTGGAGTCTTTTCAACTCTTTTGTTTGCAAAAGATCTTCTTTCTCTTGCCTTTTCTCTCTTCTTCTTTGTTATGCAGTGGTTGTTGAAATGTCAATATGTTCTATGGGGTGGTTTTTGCAACTTTCCTTTAATAATATTACATATTTTAATGCATGATGCACTAGCAATATAGTTAAAGATGTTAATGACTACGAAAATTATGAGTTTGAACTTGATGAACCGCTAAGCTCACGCAATGATTTAAAGCTTCTTACAGCGTTAAGAAAAATAGAGACAGAACATATTAGTAAAATCAAACATTTTAATGCAAGGTTATTAGTGATAAGGAAAAAGGCAAACTAGGCTTTAAGTGACCGAATAGATTTATATAAGTTGAACTCCCTCAATTTAGAAAACTGAACTATTATTAGCAAGTTTTGTTTGAAAAATAAAATAGGCATCCGCAAGATTCATTAAGCACGATAGACAATCTATCTAATTTTCAATTTGTATGTATGCATGGTGAGATATTTATATTAAATTACCGATATAAAATAAAGATTCGACTTACGTTGAGTAAAAGTATAGTTTAACTCTTGAAGTTATAAAATAGATATTTGATCATTATATATTTTAAAGTTCAAAATTGAATATTTAAATGAAGAATATATTAAAAATAACATATTATTATTTTTACTAGCATTAAAAGTTTACTATACGTCAATGAAGCTTTTGACTATTGGTAAATGATTAATGTTCAACCTAATAATAATTCAACATTAGAAACAGTGACACGCTAGAAAAGGCGACCAGTAACACCCACGTCGTATTTAATCCGAGTGCTTACACAAAGAAAGCAATATGGGGACGACCCCATTCCTCCAATAATCCAACAAATTATGGCAAAAGTGGGAGCATTTCAAGGAGTGAAGAAATCTCCTTCCATTTTTACTTTCCACACGACAAATTATTATCAGTTTTGTCTCTCCTTTTCTTTTCTTTTAGCTGTTAATTCCCAGAATAGGCCAAAGTGTTGGTGGTTTGATGAGACTTCTGTTTGAAAATCTTTGGTTGGGATAAAAAAAAGTAAAAGAATAAAAAAGAAAGAGGAATGGCGATGATGATGGGTCTGCCTCTGCACTGCAGATTGAGAGACACTCAGAAAATGAAAAATTAATTCTGAGAAAAAACGTGGTTTTGGTCAAACCCATTTGCCCTCTTTGCATTATTGGCAATGGCTATTAGCTGGCTTTGTACTTCCCAAAAACAAACAAACCAGTAAAAAAAAATTGTTAAATCATAAATTTCAGAGATTTATTACAGTTTAAAAGATGTAAGATTTATTACACGAGGTGAAAGTTTGGAGGCCAAAGTTATCATTTTAACCAAAAAAAGAACAAAAGGAGCACATTCAATTATTTTGAGTGGCTTGAATGAATATTTTTCCCGCCTGCTTAGTCCTTTCTAAACTGTTCAAAATCTTTCAGAATTTTGAGCCAAAAGATTCGAGGAAAACAAGGTGGATTGGATTTGGATTTGGATTAGATTCCTATGTTGTGAGTGGCAACTGGCAAGACCATTCATTACAAGTTTCTAACATTTAAGAAAGACATCAAAATTAAAGAAGCCTGTTTCAGACATCATTCCAAACAGGCAAAGAAATAGGAACAGGCCTCATCTGGTTTGATGGGAGCCAAATTCCCCCATTGCTTTCAAATGGGGCTTTTCCAAATAACACTGAGGAAGAGGAATTTGACTTATCAGGACTTGTTTCCCTTGAGCTACTCAGGCTGCTCACCACAGAGGAACCATTGGAGAAATGTGCCTTTAACTTGCTTGAATCATTCCCCATTGCCCGATCACAATTTACGGTTTCGACTCCGATTAGATGCTGCAGGGCTATTCCGGAAGCCATGGACTTCTGGTCCAAGGATTCGATGGATGCATTTGGATCCAGCAGCAGGGTKTCGTGGAATACCGTCCTCCAATCTATGTTGTTGCTGTTGGAAATCTCTGAGAGGTTGATTCGAGTAATGTTCTGTGTTGGTTCTTTGTGCTCGATGGCATTGGTTGGTTTGAGATCTTTGTTTCGTCTTGCAAACTCTCCCGAAAGGAGGCCGCTGCTCGCCATGATCCTTTCTATGTTGTACCTCGAAGTGTCGAAGTTTGTGACGGCGTTTACGCCACGAAACTTGATAGCTGCTATGTCATATGCTTCGGCAGCTTCCTCTTGTGTGCCTGAAAATCATTGTAATGAAAAGAAGCTAAATATGATAACTATGCAAGGACAGATAATAAAGCTAAAATTGGGATTGTTCAAGTATTATAGTTGGCATATAGCACAGCTAAAGGTACAAAAAGAGACAAAATTTCATACATCATCAGTTAGATTCAAGAAATATAATATGAACTGAATTAACAACTTGAAACTTTATAGCAATGGCTATAGCAACAAACCAAATGTTCCGAGATAGAGGTCTTTATTCCCTGCAACTCGTCCGATCCGAGCTTGCCATCTCCCATGCTGATGATGTCTGAAAACAGCGGTCAAAATTTGATCTAGTAAACAAAATGAGGCAGTATTTCGCAGTAAAAAATAAACAAACGAACAAACAAACAAGAGTGTCTGATTTGAAATTTTTATAAGCACCTAGTAACTCCTCTGTATATCGAAGCTCCCCTGGAGAATCCACTGCTTTTCCTGCAAACCAGAAACCAGAAAATGAGACTATATTCTAAGAAATATGAAGATAACCTATGGCAACATATCGAAATAATAACTTCAAATTTCCAGGTACCTTCTAAGATGTGCTACGTATTCTTGGCGGTTCATGTTCTTCATTTCTTCAATCTCAACATGATAGTTTCTTAGCTGCAAAAATACAAAAATGATCATCATAATGAATCTGAAGACCAGAACAGGTTGATAACACTAGAATCATATCATACCGAGAAGTTTAAATGTGTGGAGGGTCCCCAATACTTGAGAGCTGCAAGATCATAAGCTCTTGCTGCTTTCTCCTCCATATCATAGCCACCTGAAATTCAAATCACTACTAGTAAACTTCCATATGATTGGACTTCCTACAGCAAAGTTCTTTGGCAAAGGCTTACCGAGATAAACTGAAGTTCACACGATTTAATTAAACAGCATCCATATGGAAGTTGAACATGAAAATCAACAAGGAAATGGTTTGAAGTCAAAACATGCATCTGAAGGAGAGCCAAAAACATTGGAGGAACATGACAAAAAACAAGAAAATGGTTCAAAATATGACAAACCTTGTCTTCCTTTCCTAGTTTGGCCTTCCTTCTTACAACTGTTATCCCACAAATGAGCCTCATATCTACCAGTCCATCTATGTCTGATAAGAACAAACTACCCAACATTACTAACATACAGAGAAAAAGAAAAAAGAAACAGCAAAACCTGGTCATGGATGATGCTAGAATGAACATAAGGTGTTACAACTTAGAACAACCTTGTAACACCTCTGTATTGCGAAGTTCTTTGCCCGAACGTGTCGATCGACTTCCGATGGACTGGCTGCTTTTGTCCTGCCGGACCCCTTTTCTTTGTTTCCAATGTAGCTGGTCCAGAATGGGAAATTTGGCTGGGAGCAGTAACACAACTAGACTGAGAACCAGGGCTCATTGACAAGCTAAGTGGCTGCAAATCCTGACAAGTCATCCCTCCGAAGCTGCCATCAATTTGCTGCTCCATGGCTTGTCGAATTTCAGAACAATAGCCTGCAATATGAGACTCCTTACTGGTTTCCTCAGCCGGAAAATGGAACATTTCAGAATAGTATCTCTGAGATTGAAGATAAACATGTTGTTGCTTGAAAAGATTCAGAGAGTGTTCTCTCTCTGACTCTGCCTCAGCATTTTGATTATAATATATGCTGTCTAAGCTTAAAGCTGTGGCCTCTCTTCCATGAGTTGCACCACCAAGAAAGTCCTCCAACTTTGGTGGGAGATTTGGCATCATTTCTACACAAAAAGAAAGTAAAAAACTTCTTTTTAACGACTTCATTAGATAAAAGCTTTGACAGAAGAAGCAAAAAACAGACCTCGAGGTTGTGATCTGCTGATTGCCTCCATTACACAAAGAGACCCATCTGACTTAAGTGGCATTACAGACAAGG